GCTCATTTTTTGCTTGATCCATCCCAAGGGAAATACTGCCTAGAGTATGCCACTCATTGCACTCACGCTTTCCGTCTGATCCTGCTAGTGATTGAACCGAATAATGGTATGTTCAGATATCTTTTCCAACTTGGCGACGATCGCTGTATGCCTTTTGGACATTCATGGTGGGTTATTGTATGTTTGTGCTGTCGCTGATTTATACATTTCAATTTCATGGATTTCCGAAATTGTACAATCAGTATTTGGGAATGTCCGAAGACGTGTTAGTATTTTCGTTATTCGATCGTTTGCCTATTTAACATTTTGATCATCTGATGATACTTCTCGAAGAAATATGAACTAAGGCGTGATTTCAGTCGAATTGATACCAAATGAATAATTAACCTCATAATTCATGTTGCATACCTGAAAACGGTATTAGACTCTTCGAAAATCTTCGAATGGAACAGTATGAAAACCGTCTTTGAGTTTGGAAGTGTGTCATGGATTCAGTTAACCGTATTGATTTTGAAAATTTTCAGTCTAAAATCAATCGGACTCGAGCGATTCTCCAGTGGTCGACTGTTTGTGAAGCTCTTAACACCGATCAGTTTCCTCATATTCACGCTCATACAGATGAACTTTTTCCACGAAAATCTTATGGAAAGAACCGGCAAATGGGAAAAGGTACAGTGAACATTTAATGCGCATCGCTCTGCATTGTATCAGTTGAAAAGCAATAAGGCCAATTCATGCTACATTCGATGGCTTTTGTTACGATTAGATGAATATGAAGGAACAAATCATTTGTTTGCAGGCCTTCTATCATAATCGATCACGCCTAGCCACAATGCTGGGCAAATTTCATAAGAGAAACGTTGGTTTAATGAATGTTTTTCTGAAAGGTGCCGTTTTTAAACGTAGTGCCAACAAAAAGTATGATCTGCTTTTTTTTCGTTATATTTCATTTAAATTCGTCAATGTTTTATGTCAAGTACCATGAAGACAAACAATGGCATAATTTTTGTTTCATATTCAAAACAAATTTAGTGGAACTGAAGAACACGTAAAACAAACTGCTGAAACATTTTGATCTCCTTTCTTGAGTAGACCCTCAATTAAGTGATCAAGCATTCATTCATGTAAAAAATGTGGACTGTTTCTGTGACCCCAACCGTCGACCTTTTGGGGACTAGAAGGGATAGCTGGAGAACAATACAATAATA